TCGCCGGAGTACGGGGAGGAGGAAGCTGGGCTTTCACTTTCCTATTGAAAACGTGCTGTTGCTGCGCCGCCGTTCTTGAAAATGTCTCAATCAAAACTATTGCCTTGTGACTATAGTTGTACGTCTGTGGCCATATTGTGCAAGTAAGTCGGTAGGTAACGATACGAAGATGTTCGCAGGTTGTTTCGGTTACTATCAGGTGACTCTCATATAAAAAGGGTCTAGGAGCACAGAGGGAAAGAACAGTCTTCAAAAGCTGGTTCAAATTCGTAAAAAAAAAAAAAAATTGAGCCCTTTCAGGTTAAAGGAAGCTGCTGTTTTGACTCTTTGGCACCTATTGGCCAAAAGCATGCTGTGTTTGATTAAAGGCTTTCTGGTACGAGGACTGTCAGGGGTGAAGAGGACTGTGGCTAAGGAAGCTCAACAACAGGAGAGGTGCTAGATTACCATTAAAAACTTATTTTCTTTTTTGAGGCCAAGAATATGTAGGCCAAAACGATGCCACTTTCCTTATGATGTAGCTATGCTAAATTTACCTGACCCCTTCTTTTTTTCCTCTCCACAAGAAGTGTGGAGATTTAGCCCCAGGTGTGTGAATTATATTCTTAAAAGGAACCTTAAAGCAATAGATGCACAAGTCAGGTCTAAAGACCTTGCATGATACATTTTTTTGAAGCTGGCTGTCTTGTGAGGTTGGTTTATTTAGAAAAATTACCTCCGCACAAGATCTTACCACTATATTCCCTTGTAATGTACAGAGGAGCCTTTTGATGCTGAGACAGCCAAGTTATTTTTGATCTGGTTAGTAATATTGTATGAGTCAAGTTTCATACAGAACAAAAAGATGCTCTTTGCTTCAAGCTATAGTTTGATTCTCTTCAAGATTGGAGAAAGACTTGCAATTTAATATAGAAGGGAAGAATGTTCATTGTATACAAATATTAAGATACCAACTTCTGTGGGGGTTGGGTTTTTTCTTTTCTTCTAATGTAGCAATTTCTGATGGCTAACAAGCTGGATACAGCAATGTGGATTTCCCGCTTGTTCACAGTTTACTGCTCAGCTTTATTTGTCCTGCCTCTTCTAGGGTATGTATTGTAATATTGTAAAATAGCATTAAAAATCTACAAAGTAACTACACTCCCTTTTTATAAAGTTGATTTTCATGTAAGGGTAAATATCTATTGTTCAGCTTACTTGGATGCTTTTTGTCAGAACAGTTTACAGATTTTTAGATTGGTTTAAAACACTTTTCAGTGTGTTTGGAAGATGTGTTGAGTGACGGTAAAGTAGTGGGAAATGCATGTTTTATGTGTAGTTATGAAGTAATATATTGAGTTGTTTTACCTTTGGCACCTGCAGTAAGTCTGAGTTACCAGTTTTTGAGTTGTATTTTGGTAATAGTGCGTATGCACAATAACAGAAATACTTCAGGTATTGTGCGATTGTGATGCAATTCTCAGGGGTAGAAGACTTCTGAGCAGGGGCTTGGTTCATATGGTAACATCTCCTCTGATGATTTGCAGGTTGCATGAAGCAGCAAGCTTTTATCAGCGTGCCTTGCTGGCAAATGCTCTTACTAGTGCCCTCCGACTACACCAAAGGCTACCACACTTTCAGCTTAGCAGGGCGTTTCTGGCCCAGGCTTTGCTGGAGGACAGCTGCCACTACCTGTTGTACTCTCTTATCTTTGTGAATTCCTACCCTGTTACAAGTATCCTTTGTTTGTGTCACCCTGGTAGTGTTTCTAAATATCTTAAAAACTTGATTCTTTTCATCACCTGTGCCATGATTTGAAAAGCTAGTTTAGACTAGAATACGTCTGCTATTCATAGAACATACTGTATGTAAAATAGGAGAGGCTTATGTTCATTGATCCATATTCAGGTTAATAATCTCTATAACTAGTACATTGCAGTCTCTGGCTACTTACATTTTCTTTTCTGGAGACTTAAGTTCAGTGGATTTTATGACTAGCCTCATCTGGTACTTTGAGAAGTTCCTAACTTTCATTTATTACCAGTACAGGGTTTGTATATGACTCCACACTGTAAGTAGGGCATATATCATGTAGAGAGACATTCATTCAGTAGCAGATTTTTTTTTTTCAGATAAGTTACTAAACAGATAAAGTCTGCAAAAAAGACTTGCTCCTGTGGCATATCAAAGGTGACGTGTAAGAACTGACTTTTTTTCTTTGTGCCACTTTGTATGTACACTTAATGTCTTACTCTTAAAATGTCTCTGGCAGAGGAATGTCTTTGTTCTTGCTCTTTAAAATCTGAATGGCTGGCAACTGCATGTTCTTTGGTGAAGAATGATACATTTTTTAGCATCTCTTAGTAAATATGACTACATGTATATGGTAGATTTTAAGAAGTAACCTCACGTGTCTTTCATGCAGAAAGAATGCATTTCAGTAGCAATGTGCTGGTGTGTAATGGTGTATGTTGTACTTTTGCATACCTGCTTACATGCACATTTTGAAGTTACAGAGAAGAGAAGGTGTAAGAAGCAAAGGGAAGACCTATAAATATAGTTGTTAAGACATGTACTTGTCTTAATCCAGTATAGGTCATTCCAGCCAACCTGTTGCAAAGAGCCATCAGGCTATGACTTCTGTGTTAGTATAACATCATGGAGAAATGAAGCACTTCTGTAGCCTATGGTTTTCCTTAACACTTGTTTCAGTGAGTATTTTTCCAGTTCTGCTGTTCTCTTTGCTTCATGCTGCCACATATACAAAGAAGGTTCTTGATGTGAGTATGATATGATGATTAATGTATGTATGATAAAGTATGATATGATTAATACTGTTGGTATTCTTGGGGTTTATAAACAGGCTTGAGTTGCAGCTATGGTTTCCTTTAGCTACACTAGAGGAGTTAGAGTAAAATTGTAGTATGGAATCTCAGCACAGAGAATCTGAGAAGTCTTTTTTTGGGGTTGGTTCCCCCCTTCCTCTTCTGTTACGACTCAATGATATGTTGGAGTTGACACTAATTATTTTTCTTCAGATGGTATCCTTTGAAGGAAGCAAATGTTGTGTTAACAGTTAAGTTGAAACTTAAGACATGTCTTTTCAAACTAAACCATAGCCTGTGAAATGTAATGTTATATTCCAGTAGCAAAATAATGAATTGCAGGGTGAGGCTAGGAAACAAAATACTTGCGAGTTGGACCTGTTGCTCAGTGAACTGTCTTGTGCATCTTAATATAACTCCAACCTTTGGTGTTCCTAACTAGACTGTCTTGCTACCATAAGTACTTTGTCCTAGCGGACAGAATGAGGCTCATGGCCATCTCTGCAGTTGAACCCAAAATGGGTGGGTGAGGGAATTGCAACACCTCATGTTTTTAATTGAACTCTATGCAATTATGGAGTTCCAAGCTTCTGGTAGTTTTCTTTGGGACACCAGTCTCAATACCTTTAAAGAATCTAGTCTTAAAATGCTGAAATGAGTTGTGAATTATGATTGTTAGTACTTTGATTTCTTTGTGCTAGAGAAAACAGGTGTAACTTGTATGTTTTCTGGTGATCTTCTTTTCTGCTTTAAAGGCACGAAGTTCAAGTAGTCTACCCTTTCTGAGAAATCTTCTAGAGAAATTGAATGCTAATCAACAAAATATTCTAAAATTCATTGCTTGCAATGAAATTTTCCTGATGCCAGCTACGGTTTTTATGCTTTTCAGGTAAGAATTACCATAAATATTTTCAGAATTGGTAACTTTCTACACAAGATTACTTTTTGCAGTTGAGTTCTTTGTGGGTCATAGATCTCTACTTGTATGATTCTGGCTGACCCAGGTTTGAACTTGGAGTTAAATTTATTTGATTCTTAGACTTCTCAAGTTGGTGCATCATGAAGCATTCACTCTGATATAACTGAGCATCAAAGAACCCTTCCCTTTTATAGCATGGGTGACATTGTTGGGTCAAATCAAAATTTTTCAGGCCTGTGACTTGCGTTCTCCTACATTGTTCAGTTAAGTTTATTTTTGGTCAGTGTAATAGAATATTAAGATCTTCAGCTTCACTGAAAGTGAACTCTCTTTTTTACTATTAGATTCCAGAAATTTAAGTGGTGTGAAATTTCATTGTGCTAAAAGTGTGCAAACAGGAGTAGGTTATGTCCTCTCCTGTGTTACTTCTGACCAGTAACCCTTGTCTTTTTTTTTTGATGATTCCATTTGGTTTTGCCTGCTGTGCAGCCTGTTGAATTAATTTTAGGGATCTTGAGCATATGCATGTTGGAATCCTACTAAAGTCATGTGGGCTTAATGACCTGCCAGTCATTGAAGTTTGGGTTGTTGCCTTTTAATATTTGGAGGGGGAATAACACCCTTTGTTCTATACAAGTTATAGCATGGTGAGAGCTTTTGTCATGAGTGGCCTCACAGGCAGCAGAAGGGAGGCTTTATCTTCCTGGAAGTTGATAGAATGCATAATTTTCTTTATGTTTTGATATGTCAGCTGAACACTTCAATGCTTCAGCCCTGAAGGATTCCATTTCATTTAAGGCCACTTCTCAACTGACAGATACACTCTGTATCCAGTATCTGAAACATTCAATTGCTTCAAACTTCTCTTTAGGAGAACTTATTTTTCTCTCTGGAGAACTGAACATGTGAAGTGTTGCTACTTGAGAAGTCATCTAGTAGATACTGAATCTTGTAAAAGATCATATACCACATTTTAAAATAGTACAATGGTTAAATGCAGCTATTGTGATAATTTGTTCTTTAAACTGTTTTAGCATATTAAATTGCTTGTAAATACTGTACAGGTGCAAGATTTAATCTTTTCCCCCTCCTGTAGCTCACTTTCTTTTCCATTTTATATTTTTTTCTGCTGGGTAAAGATATTGCTCATATTTGAATGAGCTCTAGTTACTGAAACTGTCATGTTCATCTTCAAACAGAGCTTTTTAATATTGTCATAGATACAGAAGCTTCAGTCATTAAAATTACACCCATGATATTTCTATGCTTTGCTACGTGTGGTTTGTATGCTGCCCTTTCAGTATTTTACAGCACTGTCATGTGAAACAGCAGCCTTGTAAAGTATCAAAACCTAATTTCAGTGTAACTGAAATAGTTGGGTATTGGCTTGGCATTAATATCTCAATACATCTATGATAGTCTCCAGAGTGTTCTGAGAAGTTTTGCAAAAGGTACTGGAAATATGGTCCAGATACTCAAAGTGCCACGATTAAAGCTGAAAAAGCTCACTGTAATGGGACTATTCATGTCAGACAATTTCTGTGCTTAACCCCAATTTCTGTACTTAACCAGGAAGCTCTGTCTTAATACTGAATAGGCATCCACCATCACTTCTATGATTCTTTGCCCACTGACAGAAATGAGGCATATAAAAAACTTCATAAATATGAAATCAATACAAGAACAGCACTTCTTTAGCTGCTTCACTGAGCAGTTTTATTCTATAATGTAAGTTTCTGCTTTCATAAATGTTACATTCTTTTTCTTGTCAGATCTAGATTATCTGAACCAATGTGACCCCAATTAGCTTTTTTTGAGCCTAAGCAGTTTGGCAGTTTGTTTGCTTTTGTTAGGAAAAGTCCTGTTTCGTGGTTATTTTTTTTTTGTCAGTATTAAGCATTACTTCTCTATTCTCTTTCAGTGGGCAAGGGAGTCTGCTCCAGCCATTCATTTACTATAGGTTTCTTACATTACGCTACTCCTCTCGGCGAAATCCATACTGTCGGTAAGCACTAAATTGATTTCAGAAGTTAATGTTTAACTGTATAGTGTTTAGGCATTCAGAAATTTTTCATTCTAAAATGAATGCATAACTCATAATGCTAAATCTGCAAATGGTAATTATAGAACATGGAATACACCTGGATGCCAAAAAAAAAAGGAACAGCTGGTTCAAGGTTACATTTATTTCATGTAGCTGAAGTTTTCTGAAATGTACCACCATCCTTGAGTGGGAGCTTTCAGAATATGCTTGCATAACTACATCTGTTCTTTGGGAGAAGAAAGTCTTTGAATTGTTCTGCAACCATTCACCAGAAAGACACCCTTATTTTTAGATTCCGGGCCTACCTGAGGCTAAGTCTATACATGAACAGGCACTTATGAACTTATGTAATGTTGACAGAGAAGAAAAAAATCTGTGGATGATATTAAACATGTTCATTACCTCCTTTAGTTAAATTCATAAGTCATGTTAATTATAATTGAAATAGAGCCTTATTGATCTTGTTTGAAAATTGTTCAAGCCAATACTATTGCTTTAAACTTTGAAACCATAAATCTATGAGGATGTGCTCGGGTCAGTGCTTTCTCAGAACTCTTATGACGAGCATTGCATGGTGTAAGATTTTGTGAACATACTTTCCGGTCTGATCGCTACCTGATTAGAAAATGGTTTGCTAAAGTAAGAAGTAAGTGGCTTTGGCTGCCATGGTGTGCAAAGACAGATCTGAGAATCATAAACTTAAATCACCTCCTATTCCCTCCTATTTTGTAAGAAATAAATTGTTCTCTCTTAGGATGTTAGTGGTGCTTTTTTTTTTTTGTTGTTAACAACAACAAAATCTCTGAAGGTACTTTACTACTTTGGTATCTAAAAATAATTTCAGTTGTGCAATACTAAAACTAACTTTCAATAGAACTAGTTTATCCAAGATTTTCTGCTGGTATTTATGTAGTTTTAAGGGAAACTGGTGTTGTGAGGTCTATTTCTCAGGTCTGTCTTTTAATAGATGCTTCTGGAGCGCAGAGTTCTTGCATTTGGCAAGAAGCAGTGCAAACACACAATTACCTCCCAACTCCTTACTCTATTTCTGATAAAACATTACTACTTTTTTAATAGGAGGAGGAGGTTTCTTGAAGGTGGAATTTTTTTACTGTCTTTATATCTGTCAGCTGGAAGGTGCTGAACTAAAGTTAATTAAAATGTTAATGTTTAAAGGACAAGAATTCTGAACTTCTTGCAAGATAACTGCAACACTGAGTTGATCTAAAGAACTTGCTAACTGGAGTGTGTGAGGGTTGAGAAGAGAAGCGAATGAAAAAGATAGGTTTAGATGATGCTTCTGATAAGTGCTGTAGGATTTTAAAACTCTCTTTAAATCTGATTTTTCAGGACTCTCTTCACCGAGCTGAGGATTGTTGTTGAACACTTAATAATGAAGCCCTCATGCCCTGTTTTTGTAAGAAGACTATGCCTCAGCAGCATTTCCTTTATAAGCAGATTGGCACCAACTGTTGCATAGCCAAATTTCAGGCACTTGTGTTTTCTGAACATTATGAGCAGCTGGCACTTCTGCTGATGATTATAAATTCCTGGTTTTACACTGATCTCACTCCAGGCTGTGTAAAAATGTGTATATGCTTTTCTTGGAGATAATACGAAATTTAGCATATCAAAAGCAAGTCATGGAAGCTTAAAATTACTGTGCTGTATTGCTAATTGGTAAAAAAAAAAAAAAGTAGCTGCATCCTATCTAAAACATGCCCAGTCATACAGAATTGTCTTTTTAGGAATCAAGGATTGTTTGAGGTTGATTAAAACTTTAAGAGTCTGTGCTCAGTACGTTTATGTTAGTTGGAACTATAGCTACTGTAGGATGCCTCCAGTGGGTAGCAGTTGGTACACATACCTATGCAGTACACTTTGGACAGTATTCTTCCGCTTGCTAAATGTACCTGTAGAACCATTTTGTCTAGATCACTATACTCAATGTAAAAATACGGCCAACTTTGAATTTAACAAAAGGGATTAAAATCTATCAAGCTGACATAGTTAACACTTTTTCTGAAGGAGAGGCGGTTTTTATTGATACTACTTAAAAAGAACTCTTCCAAGTTCCTACCTTGTGACATAGTCTTATATTACATTGTTGGAAGAAATCTCCAGACTCTGGTCATGGGGCAACTCTGTGCAGTTATCTCATCATAACAAGATGTTTTACCAAGCCAAATTGCTGACCTGTAGGCTTTTCAGACAAAGATGCAATGTAAACTTGTAACCACCTCTTAAGTGAACTAATCAATGTAAACGAAGTAACTTTTGCAGAATCATTGCAGATTTGTTCTTGTGTCTACACAAATGTGAGACTGCAGTAATTCAAGTGTGTCAGCTTTTTAGAAAATTAATCTGTAGCTAGCTCTATATAAATTGTTCTTCCAGTTTCTGAGACTCATTATGATGGGAAATTTGCATAAAGGTTGCACCTGTTTAGGCAGCTTCTGAAACTAATGGGTGTAGGATTTTTTGGCATAAATCCATCTGACTGGTCTGCAGCCAGCGTCATGACTACAGAAGTGAATATTAAATTGAGTGCTGATTATGCATTCACCCAGCAGCTGACAGGTAGGTCGTGGGAAAAGAATATTATCTGTCTGAACACAACTTCCATAAATGCAAGGCAAAGTATTTGCCTAATCTTCTGTAGTTAATGTTAGTATTCTAATTGCATAAAATTAAATGGGGTTCATTGGCTTTTGTAAACTTCTGTAGCACTGTACTTAACTTTTCTTCCTTGGTCAGAGAAATCTTTTGTGAAACACTTTTGAAAACAGTCTTGAAGCGATATTGAGTTATCTTGTTTGTGATGTGGATATTATTCAGACTTTCCAGTTGTATTAGTTTGTTAGATAAAAGCCATATATTTATAAGCTTACTTCATTTTTTGCTCAACCTCTTGGTACTCATGAACCAATTGGTAACTGAATATTGATATTCTTTGACTACTTGTCTTGCTCTCTGAACATGATTAGCTATTTATAGAACACTTGCACACTGCAGAAGCAAATGCATGCAGTAATGCTCTACAGCTGCTAAAGACTTGCAATGAGATTCTCTAAATGTATATCCTGTAATTTGAGGATTTTATAGAAACTAAAATTTCTACTGCAATAAAAGGAGTGTTAAATGTAACTTGCTAGGCTCTTCAAGCTTATTTTCTCTCTAACAGAACATACTGATGCTTGAACCTGGAAATTGAGCGGAATGCTGTCCTGTGTGTATGTGTGCATGTTCTTATAGTCCCACTGCTGCTTCTGAATTGGGACATAATGTCGTGTGCTTTTCTAAATTATTTTATAGGGAATTTTTGCCTTCTAAAGTGCAAAAATTTATGACCCTTTCCTTCAAAATTTAACCCAAGAATAAGCACTGCAACGATGGTATCTAATCAGAGCAGAAATCTAGACCTATTTATTACCATTTCAATTCTTCAGCACTATTTTAGACCCTCTTTCATATTACACAGTATATTTTTTTGAGCGGTAACATCAGACTCCATTCAGCTCTTTGCATCACTGTGATTTAAAAATTAATTTGGTCATGTAAGTTGGCCCCACATACTCTTGAGTGGAAGCAAATGAATACTTTTGTAATTACTGTAAGCAAAATAACATGTTACTTCTGAGCAAATTTTTGTGGTCTAGGACTGCTATTACGGGTGCAGTCTACTGTTCCTTTAATTGCATGCTGTTATTAAATTAGAGAGGAGTCTAAATTGGATCCGATGTATTGTAACTGAAGGATGCTAAGTCTTGAGATCCAACTCTATGAATGGATGAGGAAGATAAAAAGGCATAAGTGAATGAGATGTGCCATGAAGTAGACCTTATATGTGGGTACTGAATTTCTTGTTAACTCTTTCTATTATGTCTTAAAAATGAATCGAGAGGAAGAAGATGTTTAATAAATGGAATTTGATTAGATTCAGCTAGTAGTATATTCTTGACTTTGCAAGGAATTTCTTGACATGGCCTGGATTTTACTTGTGGTCTGGTAAAACTTACTTCTCTGATGTGCCAAGCAAACATGGAACAATGGGGTAAGAGTAACTTCCAAGCAAAATAAATAGGGCAGCTGACTGCACTCTGCATCAGCTTTGGGTTTTTTACTGCAGCTTTTAGGCTGCCTAAGTGATAACGCCAAGTTTCCTCAACACTGGCAAAAACATTCTGTCCTTGTGCCTGCTTCCTTAACTGCAGTTTGTGACCATTTCTATACTAATAATTAAATTAAACACATGAAATGTTGGTTGTGTCCTGATAGCTTGAGATTTTTCTCGTGAAATGTTCATGCTGCTGTGCTGTCAACAGCTAGCCGTGATGCGGAGGCTGTAACAGAAGTCTGTGGCGGTAGAGAAATTTTGCAGCTGACCATAAAATACCTGCCAACCCTAAATGTGAAGCAGAGGAGGTTTTGTTCTACTGAAAGGTTATCTACCTAATGCGGTCATTGGTTTCTGCTGGTGTAAATCACTCTGGTGATCGTTTTTATCATCTTAGCTTTTGTAAGTTAAAGAGCTGTTGCATAGATTCTGTGGGTGGACCTACCGCTTGCTGTGCACAAGCTTGCTCTAGAGGTGAAACTCCAGTGTAAGACTTGTCTGTTCTCACCTGTAGATAAATAAAGCATAAGGACCCACTGGGTCTGTTGGAGTAGCTAATGCCAGCTGAGATTTCTTACACACAAAGTAATTCACTAATGCATCCATTCTTGCCTTTATTGTCTTTTATTTAATTTAATACTTTTATTGTCATTTTTCTGCTGTTGGTTTTGCTTTGCTCCCTTTGATGTATGTTCAAGGGGAGCAATATCCATCACTATTTTAAGTTACACTTTTTAAGGATTTTTTAAAATATATTATAATCATGAGCCACTATTTGTTCCAACAGTTTTTGAGCTGCTAACTATGTGTAATAGTACTATCCAAACAAATAACATGGCTGGTTGTTTTGTACAGTCTGTGTTGGACCTTTTTATCATTAGGCACCGATATTGCAACATCTGCTGTACAGATCTCTTGATAATTAAGTAGTACCTATTGTGAGTAAGTTCTTGCCCATTTTACAGACAGGAACTGAGGCACGGAAGGAAAGACCACTTGCCTGAGGCGATGCAAGAGCTCTGGCAGAGCAGGAAATGGGGATGTGTGTGTGTAAAAAAGAGCTGGACAAGTGTCCGGGGGGAATTGTGATTTGTTTCTATACCACATATGACTTCTTGGTCCTGTTTCCAAAATGATTCTAACTGCTGCTTGAACAATTTTGGAAAGTACTGTATTTCATGGTGCTCAGATTACTGGTAGCAAAGACGATTGAGCTAGAACAGCTAGCTTTTCTTTTAAACCAGTGTCAAAAATTGATTCCCATGTACAAGAGCTAGGTATGGTATCCTCATCTTTCTGGTGAGGAAAAGTAACACATCAGAGTAAGGTTGCAAGCACTTACATGCTAGGTGTTAGTACGGTATGCTGATCTGTTGTAATTGTCTATAACTTTTAATTGCTGCAGTGCAAATATTTGTGTTTAAACTATATATACACTGAAATTGGTTAGTGTACGTTTGTTCTGTAACTTTTATTGTGCTAATATTTTCTTAAAATCACAGGAAGAGCCAGGCCTTGCTGTTTTAAATCGCCTTTTAAGGCTAGAACTTTAAGCAATCCTTTATTTCAAAGATGAATTATCAGTATGGATAATGTAATTGAATTTAATCTTAAATGTGGATTCAAAAATATCTTTTTCATAAAATGTCAGCATTACTTATTAACTTTTCTGCAGAAGCTAGCTCTGTGATAATAGCAGATATTGTGCAGGTAAGGGAGTTTCATTGCTTAGTTCTGTGCCATCCAGATGGTACAAACTTCTAAAATGAATTGAAAAATTCATCTTTTACTTGTATTCAAGGACTGAGGCACAAAATGCTAATGTAAGGGCTCAGAGGGGAAATATAGTTCTCCTGCATATTTGAGAAAATGTGAAGCCCTTTCAAGAAAATCTAATAAACATAATAATCACAGGCTGCTGACACTAAGGAAAAAGCACCTCATTCGCTCTTTCTTTTATGCAGCGATTTACTGGTCCCTACTGATTTTCAAATTGGATCACTGCAGTAAATTATCCATGCCAGTACCTGTGAAAGAAAGCACTGGGATCCATATTTGTTTAGTGCTGTGCTTAAATCAGCAAGAATGATAAATTTGATGGTATGAAATTGGAAATATCAAGGGCTTTTCTCAGTGAATGAGCAAGTATCTCCATTTGTAATTTATTGTGACCCTTTTTCACTGTATGTGCTTTGTATGTCAAATATTTATTTCAAAGCAAATTAAATTGTTTTCTGTATTGATACAGCTATGGCTCTGTTGACGTTCTTGAAAACAAATTGTATAGGGTTTTTTCTGGATTTAAAATATTACCAATGTTGTGTTGCAAAACAGCACTTGCTGTTTAAGTTCAAATCTCTGCATTTGAGTTACCGACCAACAGCTTTCCATGCTAAATGTTCTAGGTCTGTGTTGGGTGTTGTGTTTTTTTGTTTTGTTATTTTGTGTGTTTA